GTCTCTGCTCTGACTTTGAACAAGTCCATATTGGCATAGGAGAGTAAAGGACTTCTGGGGCCCTTGTTGAGGGTCATTGTGAAGAAAGTATTGTATGTTTTTTTTTTTTTTTTTGCATACCTTGTAGAGGATTTTATTTTATCTGTAGTTTTGGTTGCATATGTATGCAGAAGGAAAGGCACATGAAAGTTTGGGCTGAAAAGGAGGGGAAAGGAGGGCGGGGGGGGGCAGGGACGGATTGACAACTCATGGGGCCCCCGGGCAATAGGGGATCATGGGGCCCCTGTGTCCTTGCCCAAACTCAAAAAAGTCTATGAAAAAGGTACCAGGGGCATCTCATGGGGCCCCCTACTGACCCCGGGCCCTCGGGCAGTGCCCGAGTTTCCAAATGGTCAGTCCGCCCTTTGGCGGGGATTTGGGGAGTAGCAATAGGACATGAAATTTGAGTTGTTGGAAGAATTAAAAAGTCAGGATATTAGGAGGAAAAAAAATCCAGTGTTGTCATGAAAGTTACTTCCACTTGCCCTTGTAAAGAAGGGTTGGTGATTACGGGAGTGAGGAAGGGCCCCTAGGGTGTACTAGGGTTTGTTGGGAAAGAATAACTACTAATGTGGAATCACCCAAAGAGAATTAAAAAAGTTGATTACGGACTTTAGAGGCACTGCAACAAAGTCTTTAAAATCACTTTATTGTAGAAATGTAGACCATCACATAGCAAATACATACATATTATTCCGCTAAGAATGCAAGGCCCCCAAAGGGGGGTAGAGCATTCTATGCTGATTACAAAACTAGTCAAAAAATTATTAAAATTAACACAAATGTACCGTAAACCAGTAAGGGTATCAAAAGACATATAGCAGATGTCGATCTTTGTAATCACTTGGTAGTTACTCTGTAGTTACTCGACATGTTTTGTGAGAGTATGGCTTCTTCAGGAGTTACTTCATAAAGGAAGGATTGAATATAAGTATAACAAGATGTCACATAATATGAAATGATTTATTATTTATATAGATCCAAAAATACCTTGAGGTATCAGCTACAGAGCAGAAAGTGTGTCGGGATAAAAGATGGTAACGCATGGAGCAGCCGCATGTCAGGCAAGTCAGCATGGGGATCCCCCAAGGATGAAGCAACACTAGGTAGTCCTTGAAAGGGGGGGGTCTCGAGATCTAAAAAACCTTACCGGGTTAAGGTACATTTGTATCAATTCCAATAATTTTTTGCCGAGTTTTGTAATCAGCATAGAAAGCTCTACCCCTGTAACCCGGTAAGGTTTTTTAGATCTCGAGACTCACCCTCCTTTCAGGGACTACCTAGTGGTGCTTCATCCTTGTGGGATCCCCCTGCTGACTTGCCTGGCATGCGGCTGCTCCATGCGTTGCCATCTTTTATCCCGACACACTTTCTGCTCTGTAGCTGATACTGTTTTAGTCGAGGACTTAATTGTCCAGTGCTTATCTGTTCCTGTCCTAATTTATGACGCTAGCTTTGGAATGTGCGCACACTGAAAGAAACTCACGCTGACACACAAGTTCAGTCTATGAATACTTCTAGTTTATTATAATGAGAAAGTGAGCTTATATATATGCAGAATGATGCGAGAGTCATGTGACAACAGCATAAGCATTATATTAGTCTTTGATTGGTCATTTCCACACGAAAACAATCTCTGTCATGGTATAGGTGTGATCTTCTTCCATCTTATCTTATAGAGAAGAAAAACATTCCTTTGTTTCCCAAATCACACGGTGGGAGGGGGTCTGTGTGTGTGAGCAGACATTTCTTAAGCAAGGATTTCTTATAGTACCACAAAGCCCAGCAGGCAGAAAATATTCACACAACATATGTATTAAAGTATAAAAGTAAATATTTATAAAACTTATAGAAATAGCGTATATATATATATATATATATATTCAATTGGAAACTAAATAGGCATTTTACAAATCCATCACAATACCTCAAGGTATTTTTGGATCTATATAAATAATAAATCATTTCATATTATGTGACATCTTGTTATACTTATATCAATCCTTCCTTCATGTAGTAACTCCTGAAGAAGCGATACTCTCGCGAAACATGTCGAGTAACTACAGAGTAACTACCAAGTGATTACCAAGATCGACATCTGATATATGTCTTTTGATACCCTTACCGGGATACGGTACATTTGTGTCAATTTTAATAATTTTTGAAGAGTTTTGTAATCAGCATAGAATGCTCTACCCCCCCCTCTGGGGGTCTTGCATTCTTAGCGGAATAATATGTATGTATTTGCTATGTAATGGTCTACATTTCTACAATAAAGTGATTTTAAATATATCTTTGTTGCAGTGCCTCTAAAGTCCATAATTGGCCTTTTTAATTGTCTTTGGTTTACCCTACTTATTATGATGGGGCATGGCACATGGGAGCCTGTTATATGCCCTTACAGTTCATCACTCTGTATTAGGTATCTTGCCAAGATATTACTAATGTGGAATGTTCATTGTTTGGGGAATTTTATCATAGCGCCAGCAGATCCTGGTGTGCCAAAAGAAAGTTTGATCGCCATGTTTTTTGACTATTAATTGGGCAGCACTGTTAAGAACCCGCTTTACTAATCGTAGTTACTGATTTCTTGTTATTGGTATGTTATTGTGATTATTTGCTACTTTTTATCAGGATCAGCACAAGGAAAGGGGGCAAAAAGAGCACATGCCCCAGGCACAGTGTTGCTATGTGGGGGGGGGGGAGCATGCTGGGAGCTTCAACCGCTCCCTCCTCCTGCACCTTACTAATACGGGTGACTTCAGTGTCTCATGTCAGCTGGAATGAAGTGGCCACCCCCAGCACTGGCCTTGTGCTCACTGCTGTAACTTGTTGTAAACATAGAAACTGACTTCCTTCGCTCTCTTCTGTGTTTATTATTGACAACATGCCTCTCTTGGTCTTGCACAGAGTACTCCCTGCCCTGTAGCATGACAGGCAGGGCCCTCTTTGTGGCAGTGGTTACTTCTGGACTGGGTGAGGGGAGGGAGCTGGGGAGTTGGTGGAAGAGCTCTGTACTAGAGGGGGGATCTGTACTGGGGAGGATGGTGGAAAGAGCCTTGTAGTGGGTGGTGAGGGGGGGTGATGAAGGAAGACCTCTGTACTGGGGAGGATGGTGAAAGAGCCTTGCCTTGTAGTGGGAGGTGGGGGGGGATGAAGAAAGAGCTCTGTACTGGGGAGGATGGTGGAAGAGCCTTGCCTTGTAGCTGGGAGGTGTGAAGGGGGTGAAGGAAGAGATCTGTACTGGGGAGGATGGTGAAAGAGTCTTGCTTTGTAGTGGGAATTGGAGGGGATGAAGGAAGCGCTCTGTACTGGGGATTATGGTGAGAGAGCTTTGCCTTGCAGTGTCGGGTGGGAGGAGGATGAAGGAAGAGCTCTGTACTGGGGAGTATGGTGGAAGAGCTTTGCCTTGCAGTGGGAGTTTGGAGGGGTATGAAGGAAGAGCTCTGTACTGGGAAGTATGGTGGAAGAGCCTTGCCTTGCAGTGGGGGGTGGGAGGAGGATGAAGGAAGAGCTCTGTACTGGGGAGTATGGTGGAAGAGCCTTGCCTTGCCTTGTAGTGGAAAGTTGGAGGGGTATGAAGGAAGAGCTCTGTACTGGGGAGTATAGTGGAAGAGCCTTGCCTTGTAGTAAGAGGTGGGAGGAGGATGAAGGAAGAGCTCTGTACTGGGGAGTATGGTGGAAAAGCTTTGCCTTGCAGTGGGAGGTTGGCGGGGTATGAAGGAAGAGCTCTGTACTGGGGAGTATGGTGGAAGAGCCTTGCCTTGTAGTGGGAGCTGGGAGGGGGATGAAGGAAGAGCTCTGTACTGGGGAGTATGGTGGAAGAGCTTTGCATTGCAGTGGGGGGTGGGAGGAGGATGAAGGAAGAGCTCTGTACTGGGGAGGATGGTGGAAGAGCTTTGACTTGCAGTGGGGGGTGGGAGGGGGATGAAGGAAGAGCTCTGTACTGGGGAATATGGTGGAAGAGCCTTGCCTTGTAGTGGGAGGTGGGGGGGGGGGGGGATGAAGGAAGAGCTCTGTACTGGGGAGTATGGTGGAAGAGCCTTGCCTTGTAGTGGGAGGTGGGGGGGATGAAGGAAGAGATCTATACTGGGGATGTTGAGGGAAGAGCTCTGTACTGAGGGGAAGGGGTGGGGGAAGAGCTTTGTAGTTGAGGATGATAAAGGAAAGGCTCTGTATGGCTGGGGGGGGGGGGGGGACTTAGTAATGGGGGTGGGAGTGCGAGGGAAGTGCTCTGTACTGGGAGGAAGGGGGAAGAGCTTTGTAGTGTGGGGAGATTGTAAGAAGAGCATTGCACTGGGACAGGGGTTGAGAAAAAAGCTTTGTACTGGGAAAGGAAGGTCATTTTTGGGGCGTGCAGTTTCCCGTCTTCGTCATGGGCATTGGATGACCTTGTCCCACCATTTAATTTTGCTGAAAAGCTGTGCACAAAATATTCCAAAGTCAAAAATTGTGTCTGGATGGGTTATTTGAAGAATCTGTTGATGTTAATTTTGCAACCCTTCCATCTCCCCCACCCGAGTCAAGTGCCCGTTTTTTTGGGACAACCCTGCCAGGCAAGCCACCTGTAAACACAGACAGGCAAATTGCCATTAAGTTTAGAAAATATTAGACTAAACAATACATAGTGACAAAGGTGAAATAATTATTGTGGCATTTACACCATAGTACAGGAAGAGGGTCTGAAATAATGGTGCAGCTGGGCCACAAATTCATTTTGACACAAAACAGTGGCTTGATTGAGGCCATTAGAGTCAAAGTTATAAAATGATCATATTAGTTATATACACTGCTACAGAAGTGTTCTCCAGAAAAACAAAAATATACTCAAATTATTGATGGGAGATAGATCCACTTTGTGTCCTTTTTTGCTGATATTCCTGTTATTTACTTATACAGACACTCCTCGTTCTTTTTGGTTTACAAGTATAATGGACAATCCCTACTTTCAGAATCCAGCGCTATTTGAAGTAGCTCAGGCCAGCCACGAGGAAAAACTTTTCCAAAAAGAGCTCGGAGTCCAGCACAGCAATGTGAGCGGCTCGTCCAATCAGAGTGTTGGCTGTGTTTGGAAGGGCATGAAAAACGTTGTGCCTGATCAGAGTGCAGTCCTTGGAGTCTATTACCGGCTGTAGCAGATTGTTTATCATTTCGGTGTAGATAGGACCTGGAAGAAAGGTAACAAAGTTGCATTTAGGCAGTGATCATTTGCATGTTGGGCAATGGATGTTTTTTGAGTACAGATAATGTTCAGGTTTGTTACTGTCAGGGATGCGGGTATGACCAGAAGTGTGTGGACTGACACAGGGAAACGCAGGCTTCAGATATAGTAAATAATATAATTTATTAAGAATAACAATACAAACGCAGTGCAAAACTAAACATAACACAGTGCAAACAAACTGAACCAAACCTCCAACAGATAACAAACATACGATACAAGAGTAGTCAGGCAGGCCGGGTCGGTAGCAAACGGGCAAACGGAGTACCAGGAGCAGGCGGGAGAGTGGTCAGGACTAGCCGAGGTCAGTACAGGCAGAGTTCAGGCAGCGTCAGGACAGCAGAAACAGGAACAGGAAACCAGGGCCAAGCAAACAGTACAACAAGGCACAGACTGCAGGTCTGGCCATCCCTTAAATACACCACCTGCAATCAGCCCCAGGTGATGGCTAATTGCCGAAGTGAGCCTCTGCTTGTTGAGAGCACCCGCTGGCCAGCCCTGGTACTGCAGCCCACAAGGCAGGTGAGTCCCACCACTATTGGCAAGTCCATTCCTGACAGTTACCATGGGTTGCAGAAAATCCCCAAAATTTTCAAATTCTCAACTTTCGCCCAAACGTTTACAGGTTGGCAGCAGAAATACACAACAACCTACAATGCAGGACATGGCCTTTGCCCCGTCAGAACCAAGAGCCATTCATTTGAAGTAACGGCTAGTAATTCCATAAATAGTGTATATGAAAGTGTGGGCTTGCAGAATTTCGCCCATGTACCCCAGTCCCTCCAGCGGCTGTACAAGAAGAATGTCTTCAAAATGCATCCCTAATAAAGGCATCTAGTAATCAGTGATGTGCATGGTGGTGGTCAGATCCATCTGAGGAACACCATGTAGGAAGGAGACAGAGCTGATCCCGAGTATTGGGTGCAAACTCCTACGTTGCCTGACCCTGTTGCCAGTGGCCACAAGGAAACCATATCAGGAGTTGTTGAGTTTTGCCTACAAGCCTCTAGCACAAGAGTGACATTTATGAGTACTTGCATTCTTTAGTTCAACATTAAAGAGAATTCTATGCCATGTTGGTACACTCTCCTGTCTCACCCCATGGCAGTGCCGGTTGTCCCATGCCTACTGTTTGACAATAAATTGCTCTACTAATAGCCAGAATAGAATAGCAACATTTGCCTCCCATAGACTTTAATAGTTATCTGCAAAGTTCACAAACTTCACGGAAATTGTGCTACACCGTATGTGAACCTAACCTGGGTGGATTTGCTGATCTCTATTTATGAGCAAAGCAGCAGTGCAAACCCAACAAATAGAACTCTGAGACACTCAGAGCTCACATAGTGCTGAGGATTTTCTGCCTCTAGCTCCATGTGACAGCGCTGGATGCCTGAACAGCCAATGGCCAATCACCAACACTGTCACATGAAAGGAAGAAGAGTTAGTCACATGGTCCCGTTTCCGGACGTACTGGATCTTTTGACTGGTTAAGTGACGTCTTTGGATCCTCTTCCTTTTCCAATCTTCAATACTGCAGAGACTGCAATGCTTATGATGGCAGTGTCCTTCTTGGCAGTATTGTACTGTGAGCCCAGTCTGTTATGATGATGATGATGACACCCTGGGCTCACAGGAAGTGAGTTGAATGATGCTGGGTGTCATTTAGCCCAGAAAATGGCAGGTGATGAACCTCGGAGTGGTATCGTAAGTCAGTGGGGGAAAGCACCGGGGAGGTACGTTTTAAAAGCAAAAGCTGCTCTAATTTTTTTTCAAGTTGGGCTATTTAAAAAAAAAAATAAAACTTGTGCTTTAAGCTGAAAACATAAATGATTAGCAAAATTTAACATATAATGTATTTCCAAAGAATTATATAAATAAGCTCCTTGTGTGCTATAAGGTATAGTACCTGTATGCTTGTCCTTAATGGCGTTTTTGCACATTTCAATTCTTGCTGAGTGAAACGGAACATACCGATCTTGGGGAGATGCCACCAAAACAACATTTTTAAAGTACTGAAGACCTGTAGATAGCAAGATGTATATTTCACTGTTATATATAATGCTCCAATTTACAGGAAGTACGTACAGTATATTTGTTTGTAGATTGGATATATATGCATTTGAAGATATGGGCAGTATGTCCTAGTCCCAAGGAAGCGAGGTAGCCACAAAAATGCATAGAAATTACATTGTGAGGACATCTACTGATATGTTGTCTATTTATAATACACTCTGTATTTCTTATATATTCACTTTTATCAAGATTTGTGGCCCTTGTGGACTTTTTATGATATTGTTTACTTAGTAAAATCTTTTGGTGTTTTTTCAGAACGTTTTGTTGCTAGTTTCTTGGCGGTATAATTTAACCACTTGCCGCCCAGCCACTGTAGAAATACGGTGGCATGGCGGCACGGCTGGGCAAAACCACGTTTTAAAACGTGTGTTTTTTAAAACAGGTAGGGGGCGCGCGTGAGGCACGCCGCCGCCCTACCCGTCCCGCCGTTACCGGCTATGTCCCGGCGATTAGCGGCAATCAGTGACAGAGAGCACAGCTGCAGTAGCTGTGCTTTCTGTCAGTTCCCTGACAGCTCCAGGACACGCTGATCGGGACAGAAGAGTTTATCTGTCCCGATCAGCGGTGTTCCCTGCAGTACACACCCCCACCCCCTAGTAAAACACTCCCTTCACACAGTTAACCCTTTCACTGAATAATAAAGTTAACCCCTTCCTCCCCAGTGCCATTAGTACAGTGTCAGTGTTTTTTTTTTTTTGCACTGATCACTGTATTGGTGTCACTGGGGATGTCAGTGACCCAAAGTCAGTTCCCCCCCAGTGTCAGAATGTCCGCCGCAGTCCCGCCATAAGTCGCTGATCGCCACCATTATTAGTATAAAAAAAATTTTTTTTAAATCGCAGTATCTTTCCGGCCATTTGTAAACGCTATAACTTTCACGGAAACCAATTAATTTACACATATTGGGTTTTTTGTAGCAAAGACATGTCGCTGAATGCATTTTGCCAGAAATTTATGACTAAATTTCATTTTTAAATTTTTTTTTACTGGACATGTTTTATAGCAAAAAGTCCAAAATATTGTTTTTTTTTCCCTCAAAATTGTCAGCCTTTTTTTTTTATAGAGCAAAAAATAAAAAATGCACAGGCAATCAAATACCACTGAAAGAAAACTCAATTTGTGGGAAAAAAAGGATGTAAATTTCATGTATGTACCATATTGCATGACCGCGCAATTGTCCGTTAAACTAGCGCAGCGCTGTATAGCAAAAAAAATGGCGTAAATTACAGTATCTATACCATAGTTTGTAGACGCTATAACTGTCACACAAAGCAATCAATATACACTTATTGGGATTTTTTTTACCAAAAACATGGAGCAGAATACATTTTGGCCTAAATTTATAACTAACTTTGAGTTTACTATATATTTTTTATAGCTGAAAGTAAAAAATATAGTTTTTCTTCAAAATTTTTGGTCTTTTTTTGTTTATAGCGTGAAAAATAAAAAGCGCACAGGTGATCAAATACCACCGAAAGAAAGCTCTATTTGTGTGAAAAAAAGGATGTAAATTTCGTTTGGGTGCAGCATTGCATGACCACGCAATGATCTGTTGAATTAGTGCAGCGCCGAGTAGCAAAAAGAGGCCTGGTCATTAAGGGGCGTAAATCCTCAGGAGGGCAAGTGGTTAAAGTCCTGCATTTGTTTTTGGTGATTGCTGTTCCTTGTTTAATTTCTTCATTCTACTGTAGGCCATTATGTACATGACTGTGATGCTGTTCATAGTAACTGATTCTGGCCAATCAAGCGAGGAGAAGAAAACCATGGGCTGAACATGCCAGAAGATAAGGGTGAAAGAGCCGTTGCAGCAAGGTGAGCAGTGCGCCAGACTACATAGGTGCCAGGAATGGGAGCTAACGTAAGCCACTACAGTACCAGGACACTGCCGGGTGAAGGAAAGTTTCACTATATCTCCATGACAATGTGTTTCTAGTCCTCTGCCTCTTTGTCAAGTCATCTTACGTAATCCATTAACCCTACAGTATGTGCCTTGTGAGCTTTATAATGAATTTCCAACTATTTTGGTTTTCAGCTCATGTACTATGTGATGTTCAGAATGTTCAATTGCCATTACATGGTGCGACAGTATGTTTAGAAGATATATCATGGAGTCACATCACTAGACTGGGTAAGCTTACTTTTTGGTTTGTTTATTCACTAAAGCAATCTCTGAATGGCCCCCATGTCCAACAGCCAACCTCAGCGCGAGAAATGGAAGCTAGTGGAGATGACTGTAGTATACATTGCTACTAAGGTTGCGCCGAGACCAGTATCAGTGCCGATGCTGAGCATTTGCAAATGCTCCGATACCTAAAACCGAGACCAGTATCAGTGCCGATGCTGAGCATTTGCAAATGCTCCGATACCTAAAACCGATACCTTTGCAATGCAATTTGAGCCCATACAAAATAAATGGCTCAAATTGCACTGCAAATTGCACAGGGAAACTGCATGTGATTCAGACAGGAATTTCGCTTATAAATGGCAACCCGCCCCTAGAGTGCCACCGTCCTGCCCTTTATAAACAGCAGGCGGACGGCATGTGGTTAAGCACAGCGCTGTCCTTTTTAAAGCTTGCTACATGTGGCAGTCTCTCCCTTTGTGAATCTCTGGGTGTGCCGATGTACTCACTCTGTCCTCATTGCTCCCACTATTCCCAGGCATTGATCCAGTTCATACCATGTTGTTGAACTGATCCTCCTGAGCCAGCCCCAAACCTAGGGGATCCCTCCCAGCCACTGACAGTCTCCTCAGCACTCCCCTGTCAGCCTGACTCTCTCATATTTATGGGCTGCCTTTACCAGGCCTTCCAAACCTGGGATTGGTTAAGACTCCTATAAACATCTTCCGCCTACTGACTTCTGGAAGGTTCCAATGGTCCTCCAGAACCAGGTGGAGGTGATAGTGTCCCAACCTGTTAAGCCATCCAGTTTGACTTGCAGTAACCTGACCACAGTCACAGATTCAGACAATTACCGTGAGTCATACACAATAAATTTGCCTACACTATTCTAGTAGCTACTAGAGGGTGCTGCATTTGGATAACAGCATGGGTCTTTTAGGGGCAAGGTCATGACATTTATTTTCTCCCATTGACCCCCTGCAATCCTTCCTGGTACTAAGTGAGCTCCCTGTTTACAGTGATATTGTTTTTAACTAATCTAGGTGTTGAAAGTACACACAGAATATTATCTACAGTTGCAAGAAAAAGTATGTGAACCCCACAGTCTGCTGAACATAATACCACACAAACATTAGATGTTGCCATGGTTTAATTGCACATAACATGTAAGCATTCACAGTGCAGAGAGGAAAAAGTATGTGAACCTTTGGACTTAATAACTGGTTGACCCTCCTTTGGCAGCAATAACCTCAACCAAACATTTCCTGTAGTTGCAGACCAGACCTGCACAATGATCTGGAGTCATTTTGGACCACTCTTCTTCACAAAACTGTTTCAGTGTAGCAATATTCTTGGGATGTCTGGTGTGAATCACTCTCTTAACGTCATGCCACAGCATTTCAATCAGGTTGAGGTCAGGACTCTGACTGGGCCACTCCAGAAGGAGTATTCTGTGCTGTTGCAGCCATTGTTTTGTTGAATTACTTGTATGCTTTGGGTCATTGTCCTGTTGCATCACCCATCCTCTGCGGAGCTTCAGTTGGCGGACAGATGGTCGTACGTTTTCCTGCAAAATGTCTTGATAAACTCTGGAATTCATTTTCCCATCAATGACAACAATCCGTCCAGGCCCTGAGGCAGCAAAGCAGCCCCAACCATGATGCTCCCTCCGCCATGTTTTACAGTGGGGATGAGGTTTTGATGTTGGTGTGCTGTGCCTTTTTTTCTCCACACATAGTGTTGTGTGTTCTTCCCAAACAACTCAATCTTGGTTTCATCTGTCCACAGTATATTCTGCCAGTAGTGCTGTGGAATATCCAGGTGCTCTTTTGCAAACTTCAAACGTGCTGCAATATTCTTTTTGGACAGCAATGGCTTCCTCCGTGGTGTCCTCCCATGTACTCCATTCTTGTTTTATGTTTTCCTTATTGTAGATGTGTCAACAAAAATGTTAGCATGTGCCAGAGATTTCTGTAGGTCTTTAGCTGACACTCTGGGATTCTTCTTTACCTCATGCAGCATTCTGCGCTGTGCTCTTGCAGTCATTTTTACAGGACGACCACACCTAGGGAGTCAGTAGCAACAGTGCTAAACTTTCTCCATTTGTAGACAGTCTGTCTTACCGTGGACACATGAACATCAAGGCTTTTGGAGATACTTTTGTAACCTTTCCAGCTTCATGCAAGTCAACAATTCTTGATCGTAGGTCTTCTGAGAGCTCTTTTCTGCGAGGCATGGTTCACATCAGACAGTGCTTCTTGAAACCAATAAACCCAAATTAGGTGTGTGTGTGTTTTTTTAAGGGCAGGACAGCTGTCAGCAACACATCCAATATCATCACACTGATTGGAGTCAAGGTTGGCTCACTCCTGGCTCCAATTAGCTCTGGGAGAAGTCATTAAGCTAGGGCCTCACATACTTTTTCCTCCCTGCACTGTGAATGTTTACATGTTATGTGCAATTAAAACCATGGCAACATCTAATGTTTGTGTATTATTATGTTCAGCAGCAGACTGTGTTCTTCTATTGTTGTGACTTAGATGACATTCAGAGCACATTTTACATGCCCAATTGATGCAAAACTCCACGTAATCCCAAGGGGTTCACATACTTTTTCTTGCAACTGTATGCTCCATAACCCCTGAGGAAGCAGACCTTTGGGTCAAAGAAACACGTAGAGGATTGGATAACAATGACTGTGACTATAAAAGAAATGTGATATTTGTATACTTGAATCAGTTTGTATGACAGGTTGATGAGTCCTGGTTAGGAGATTATATATTTATTCAGACAAATCTTTTTATTGTATTGTTTTTTTAGAAATATGCTTTTTGAAATAAAGATTTACTGTTTTTTTAAAGATATGACAAGTTGTTGATAGAAATTAGTGCCAGTAGTGTCCCTTCTTTTCCAGTTTTGTTTCTATATTTACAAACACTTGGTTTCTGGCTGAGCTGATACAGGAAAGATTTTTGATCTGGGAAGGGCATGGATCTTGATGAGGCAGATCAGCGTTTGTCCCTGAACGTCAAACTGTAGCAGTGAGCCGGACTTCTTCAGCTTTTGCATCAGCCACAAGCCTGGGACGGAAATAAAAAACATATGATGATACATAGCTACATATAGTTAAAAGGTTGAATACGCAGTTTTTCAGAGGCTCCATACATCTATGGACAGAGGCCCATACATCTAATGACTGAAGTGAAATAACATCTACAGAGGCCCCTACATTTACAGAGGTCCAGTACATTTACAAAGGTACAATACATCTGCAGAGGCCATTGCATCTACAGAGGTCCAGGTACATTTTTTGCCACAGAAAGCTCATACATCTACAGAGGTCCTGCCATATAATCTACAGAGGTCCATACATCTACTGAGGTGAAAACTCAGCCTGATCTACAGAGGACCATACATCTACAGAGGTGAAATACATCTACAGAGGATCATACATCTACAGAGCCTTCTACTCAGTGAAATATATCTACAAGAGGCCGCTACATCTACAGAGAGCTGTCCCAGTACTTTTCGGCCTGATTTACAGAGGTACAAGCCTCTACTGCATCTACTATCGCCTGAAGCCTACTGAGGCCATTGCATCTACAGAGAGTCCAGTACATTTACAGAGGTAACAATGCCTCTACTGCATCTACAGAGGCCATTGCATCTACAGAGGTCCAGTACATTCCTACAGAAGCCCATACATCTACAGAGGTCCATAAATCTACAGAGGGCTATACATCTACAGGACTGATGCCTAGGTTCAAATACATCTAACACAGGGTCATACATCTACAGAGGTATATACACCTACACAACCTGTCCAGTACATCTACAGAAGTGTAATGCATCTACAGAGGCTATTAGGGCCCGGTCATCTACAGAGGTCCAATACATTTACAGAGGCCCATACATCTACAGAGGTCCATAAATCTATAGAGGCCTGTATATCTACAAAGGCCTATACATCTACAGAGCTCCACTACATTTACGGAAGCCTGTATATCTACAAAGGCCTATACATCTACAGAGGTCCAATACATATACAAAGGCCCATACATCTACATAGGGGGGCCCAGTACATGCCTGCTACATGGGTCCATACATCTAGAGAGGTTTATAAAGCTACACAGGTCTAGAACATCTACAAAGGCCCATACATCTACAGAGGTTCAATGCATCTACAGAGGTCCATAAATCTACAGAGGCCCATATATCTACATTGGCCCATACATCCACAAAGGCCTTACACCTTCAGTGGCCCATACATCTACACATCTACAGAGCTCCATTACATCTACATAGGCCCATACATCTACAGAGGCCTATACATATGCAGAGGTCCATTACATCTACAGAGGCCCATACATCTTTAAAGCTCCTGTACATCTACAGAGGCCCATACATCTACAGAGGTCCAATACATTTACAGAAGCCCATACATCTACAGAGGTGCTATGCATCTACAGAGACCCATACATCTGAAGAGGTCCATACATCCACAGAGACCCATACATCTACAGAGGTCCATACATCTACAGAGCCCCATACATCTACAGAGCTCCATACATCTACTACTGAGGTTCATACATCTACTGAAGTCCATACAGCTACAGAGGTCCATACATCTACAGAGCCCCATACATCTACAGAGGTCAAATGTACAGTATCTACAGAGCTCCATACATCTACTGAGGTTCATACATCTACTGAAGTCCATACAGCTACAGATCCCCATACATCTACAATGATCTATACATCTACAGAGCCCTATACATCTACATAGGTCCATACATTTGCAGTTAAAAGTAGTTTCCAGAGATGGAATTTACAGAGCAACTGTTTAAAGTGGGCATAGCATTCAATACGATTTTTATGATAAGTGCATGCATTCTATGTGTAAGTGCAACACTGCCAGGTATTCATTAACTCTCAGAAAGATCACAGCACTCCCCTGGCACCACCTTCATCTGCTTTTCTTTCTAGAAGGGCAGCACCATCTTTGTTCAAGCATCATCCAGGACTTTGGTCAAGATCATCCTTGCCTGAGATGTTAGCTCATGCATCTCCTGGTGCTAATCTTGTCTATGTACAAAAAGTTCTGACACGGATAGTTTCTGCTGCAACCTCTCTCCTTGTGCATTGTTACAATGTAGCAGTTTTGGTGGAAGGGAGACTAAGGAAATGCTTTCTCCTGTATGCAGCAATTTGATGACATCATCTGAGCCTAGGCAAAGTTGCCAAACTGGACTTTTGCTATAAAAGGAGGAACTTTTCAGAAAGGGCTTTCTTAGTGCAGTTTGTTGGGTTGCTGAAAGGCCCAGTTTTTGTAATCTTGGAATGTAAACACTTTTTTAACCACTTCAGCCTGATCACTTCAAGTACTTCATGGGGGTTTGAGTGGTCATACCTGGATGATGCATGCAGCACACATATGTAAATAGACCTCTTGTGTATATCTAAAGTGGTAATCTGTAAAGGCTTTTAAAGCGTTGCTTGTGGATAATTTAATGTACGTAGTTTGTTGCCGTTCCATGGGAGTGCGCAATTATAAAGCGTAAGATGCTTGGTATCTATTTACTCCACGTAACATCATCTTTTCTATTTTACAAAAAATGTGCTATTATACTGTGTTTGCGTGCACTAAAATTCATTAAAGTGTATTTTTCCAAAATAATAGCGTTTGAAAAACTGCTGCGCAAATACTACATGACATAAACAAATTGCAACAACCATTTCATTTTCTAGGGCCTCTGTGTAAAAAAAAAAAAAAATATATATATATATATATATATATATATATATATATATATATATATATATACCCATGCATATCTGTATATTCTGTCAGATAATGCACCACTTCGCCCAGAAAATTGTTGCAATTACAAATGGTTAGGCATTCTCATGTTTATTTTTTGGTATGACACAAAAATGTAGAGAAACAAAAAGCCAAATCTGACACGTTCCACGCAAAACCCCAAATATGGACTGGACAAAATTATTGGCACCCTCACTTTAATATTTTGTAGCACACTCCTTGGAAAAATAACTTAAATTAATGGCTTCCTGTAGCCATTAATGAGTTTCTTCCACCTCTCTACTGGAATTTTGGAGCACTCTTCCTTCGCCAACTGCTCCGGGTCTCTCAGATTGGAAGGGTTCTTTTTCCCAACTGCTGTTTTGAGATGTCTCCACAGGAGCTCTATGGGACTGAGATCTGGACTCATTGCTGGTCAATGCAGTCTTCTCCAGCGCTTTGTCTGAAACCATTTCTGGGGGCTTATTGACGTGTACTTTGGGTCATTGTCCTCCTGTATGACCTCTGAGGAAGACCCAATTTTCTGACACTGGGTCCTACATTGCATCCCAGAATTATTTGGCAGTCTTTAGATTTCATAATGCCATGAGCACAGTCAAGACATCCAGTGCCTGAAGCAGCAAAGCAACCACAAATCATCAGTGAACCTCCACCATGTGTGACTGTAGGGACTGTATTCGTATCTTTAAAGACCTCATTTCTTTTGCTATCCATGATGTAATAGCAGACGTGGTAACGCACATGGTCAGAATGGCACCAGTTGCACAACTCCCGATGTAAATAAGACAATGTCTTTTGGTGCACTGACCTATGAAGGTCAGTGCTTCCTGTGACTGTGCGTGCAGCCCTGTGCTGCCATCTGTTGGCGAATTACAAAACTAATCTCAAAACCTTTTGATACCACCTCGTATATACATATTTTTTTTTTTATTTCAATACGTTTTTATTGAGATTTTAAAGAGCACAAATACCTGCAAGTGCAGGGAAACAAAAGAAAGAGGATAAGAAAATGGTTGCCTAGGGCAAGTATCCACATACATCACATTGCAATACAGAGCACTAAAAGTAATAAAAACATCAACAGGCCATTTTCGGTATCAAGCTAACCATGGTTGCCAAGCTTTTTCAAAGGACTTCTGTGATTCTGAGAGCTACTAGTCTTTCAAATGAGTAATGCGACTGGGTAGTGGCTATAATTTCGGACAGATTAGGGGCCAGTTCTCCTCTCCAGTGTCTTGTGATGGTGAGTTTGGCCACCAGTAGGATGTTAGATACTATTTTACGGTAATCTGGCGGAGATCTGGGATTGCTAATTCCGGTTCTGGGGTAGCAAGAATTGCAGAGACACTGGAGAGAAGCTGGAACACACTTCTCCAGAAGCTACGGAAGTTTTTGCAAGCCCAGAAGATGTGGAATAGATTACCAACCTGACCACATCCTCAGCAGCAAAGAGGGAATTGCCCAAGGAAAATTGAGCAATGCGATATGGGGTAAGGTACCATCGGGTGGTAATTTTTTGTGTGAGCTCCCAATGATTAGCACAGTGGGGTATGGCATATGAAAAGCGAAGGGCTGTGGTCTACTGGGATATAGTTTGCGATATGTGTAGATCAGCTTCCCATGCTTGGATAAAGGAGGTCTTAAAATATGTTTGCTTATCTTGTAAGACATTGTAAAAGAACTAAATGCCTTTGGAGGGTGTAGATGATTGTTCATAGAATTTCCATATGTTGGTGAAAATTTTGATGACCAGGAGAGGGAAGGTGAGTAAGAAAAGTCTAATGGATGTTAGTTGAAGGAATTCGGGGTTGGGGATCTTATATTCTTCCTGCAAAACCTTCGTGTTCTTAAGTTTGTTGTCCGTGTAGAAGTTTTCTACCCAACACAGATTGTGTTTATACCAATGGACAATTTTCAGGTGTGGTAGTAAGTCATCAAGTGTTTCAAAGGGAAGTTTCACAGACGTGACCGAGATAGATTGTGTGGTGGATGAGAATAGTACTCTCCAAGCTAAAAGTGAAACTTGAATTGTGATGGGTAAGGATGGTAACAGAAGTGGTTTCCACATGTCAGCCCCTAAGAAAAGTTGTATTATTATTATCATTATATACAGGATTTATATCACGCCAACAGTTTGCTCAGCGCTTTACAATATAATATATGCAGTATTTATATTTCCAGCGCAAGAAAGCCTGAGCACCAGAAAACACTTTCTTGCACCTTCCAAAAATATACCACCAACAATATGCGAATCCATAACACCCCCAAAAACTCACCTGTACTGACCAAAGTGCTGTTACTATAGAGAGTCCCCAGGTGGGGTCCAGAAAGGGAAAGGAAGGTGTGCAACTTGTTCAGATAATATCGGAATCGAGGGCGGGTGAGCACCGATCGGATGATGATGTTTCCCAGCGAATGCCCAATAAAACTGCAAAGAGAAAGAAATCACATAATGGTTTATTTTTCCCAAAAATGTCCAAACATTTACAATTAAATTGATGGAACCCCTAAATTAGTGGTATTCAAAGAGGAACTTCAGTCCCCTGTTTAGTGGCTCTACCCAACTCCCTACCATTCTGCCATTTTGGCACGTGAGCAGATGTCCCAGCCTTCAGGTCCTGCCAGAGACCTTCGGCACCTCTGCACACATGCAGGACATTTTAGGACACCAAAGGTCCGAGCCTTCCATAAACATCATCTTTCCACATGCTCAGGGAAAAGTGCTTGTGCCCATATGTGTTGAGGAATCTTACATGTGCGTTGATGTGTTGCAGGGCTCAGCGGGACATGAAGCCCTACAGAACATCTCCACATGCACAGAATTCAAGGGCGGGGAGAGGCAACACAAACTCCATTCTTTTCTACATGAGACATACATAAGGTCCTGTTCACACCTATGCAGTTTGCTTTTTGTCCATTTTGCAGTGCTTTTCACAGTTCGTTTTGTGTTTTTCTACATGCGTGTTTGATGTGTTTTTGATGCATCTTTACCGCATTTTGCATTTTTTTTCAGCTCTTTTTTTTTTTTTTCAAGTGAATTTGTTTTGTTGCTGGGCAGAATAAAAATGCAAAACGCCGCAAAAAAGCACTACCGTGCATTTCAGAAGCTTCTCCCATCATTAAACTCTATTGTAGCAAAATTGCTGCTTTTTGCTTTTAAAAAAGTCCCTGACCCTTTTCCAAAAATGCAGCAGCTCAAAACAGCATAGGTGTAAACATGTCCCATAGCAAACCATGTTAAATGGACTGTAGTGCGTTTCTACATAAAGCACTAAAAAACGCATTGGTGTGAACGGAGCCCAAGTGCTGACTTGCAGCACAAACAAATCTTTTACATTAAAAAAAGTTATAGCCATTTGAGAGAGAGAGAGAGAGAGAGAGAGAGAGAGGAGGAGGCATGGCAATATGAGACACCTAAACGGTTAACCATAAACAATTGCTGTTTATTTTAATAAAATACTTGCTGTGAATGAATGAACTACAAGTACTGTTGGCCGCTGCAGCCAACAGCTTGTAGTTCTCAAAAAACTGCAAGAGCGCTAGTGAACGCTTTCATGGTTCATTGATTCTTCCTGCCATTCAGTAACTGTCTGCCCGTATAGGAGTTACAGGCAGACAGCTGACTGAGTTTTATTTACAGGCTGCAGATTAAAAATAAATAAATAAATAAATAAGTGTACATTCTTTTACTTGCAAAAAGATGTGCATTTATTAATTTTGTACATAAGGTGAATTTGGCCTTTAAAGAATTCACCAAACATCCCCATCTGGCTGAATCCACAGTTAGCCGAACTTAACAAAATTTCTGAGGGACTCCAGTGGTCCATATATAGGGTTAACTATGTCCACCATTTGTATGCTGAAAAAAACTTTTTAACCCTTTGTTTAATTGTAAGAAGGATTTCATATACAGTTGGGACAATGACCCAAAGCATACAAGTAATTCAACAAAACAATGGCTGCAACAGCACAGAATACGCCTTCTGGAGTGGCCCAGTCAGAGTCCTGACCTCAACCCGATTGAAATGCTGTGGCATGACCTTAAGACAGCGATTCACACCAGACATCCCAAGAATATTGCTACACTGAAACAGTTTTGTGAAGAGGAGTGGTCCAAATGACTCCAGATCGTTGTGCAGGTCTGATCTGCAACTACAGGAAACGTTTGGTTGAGGTTATTGCTGCCAAAGGAGGGTCAACCAGTTATTAAGTCCAAAGGTTCACATACTTTTTCCTCCCTGCACTGTGAATGTTTACATGTTATGTGCAATTAAACCATGGCAACATCTAATGTTTGTGTAGTATTATGTTCAGCAGACTGTGTTCTTCTATTGTTGTGACTTAGATGACGTTCAGAGCACATTTTATGCCCAATTCATGCAAAACTCCACGTAATCCCAAGGGGTTCACATACTTTTTCTTGCAACTGTACATAAAACCTGAAAAAATGCCACCAACATACCTTCCAACCCACACCATCATGCCGCCTTCTCGGTACAGTTCTCTTATTGTACCCCTTAAAAATTCTAACCTTGAGACACCACTATTGTATCTAGCTAGAAATAAACTAACTTACCAAATGCTAGTGGGCACACATGGACTAGATGGACAGCCAGACTAACTATGTACCTTATATCTACATGTAGCGCTACCCCCTTAGGAGTCACTGAAGATTTGAGTCCCCTTATAGTGGATGGGGTAAGGGGTGTATGGGATGCCCAAAGGGAATGGTAACTGAGGACAATCTCCCTGGAACTAACTTTTTAAACAGCAAAAATTCTCTTCTGGAGAGCTAGCAAGCTTACTACCCCCCACCCAAGATATTCCTTTATTCACCTGTACTGGGTGAATCCCTGGGCAGGGGATCCAGTGAATGTCACTTTAAAAAGAAGACAGTCCCGGGTAGCAAGCTAATCCAGTTTCCCACTAGAGTGCTCCATCCCCTTTCTGGCCCAGAGGGTGTATGTCTACTCACTCAGTCCTCTGTCTGTGAGCTGATGGGTCGGCGGCTGCTCTCAGGCCTTCTGCTGGGCCACTCCTTCCCTGCTGCACAGATGGTCTTTGCTCTGGGGATCGATGAGGTCCTGAGTTTTCCTTCTTTCCAGCTTCTCTGCCTGTAGGTAAGCCCCTTCCCATTTGGGCTCCCTCCAAGGCTCCTGCTCTCCAGCCTCTCACTTCATCTTCCACCGAACTCTCCTGCTGCTGAGCAGGCTCTGTCACATTTGAAGGCTGCCTTGACCCCATGACAAGCCTCCTGCTTGGGGATTGGCCAAGGTTCTCCAACTGTGCAGGCCAGCCCCTCCTCACTCCCGCCTACTGCTTCTTGAATCTTCTCCAAGATTCTAGAGCAGGGGGAGGTATCAGGGAACTGGCCTGCAAAGCCTCTCAGCCCTGATCCGAATTTGACCTCCCTCTGACTATCACCACAGGCTGCTACTCAGCCTCTGAATAATAATTTAGCACTAGCTCCCCCTAGTTATCTAGGAGGGTGCTATATACACAAGAAAAGAAAGAATTCAGGTGACTACTACTATCGTGGAAGATGATCCAAAGTGGAACTTTGCCTGAAAAGGGAAGTTCAGCTTTTTCTAATCCTCCTCCTCTCCTCTAACATTTTTGTCAGTTTTATTTTCGGGACCGGGTACCTATCTCTGACAGGTATCTATCTCTGACAGGTATCCACTTCCACTTATGCTCAGATCTCCTTGGTATTCCAGCCAGAATTTCGGCAGAAGACAAATGAAGAACCGGCCTGGGTGAGGACAGAGATGTATCCCTGGACTGGTAAGTGTCTGTTTATCAAAAGTCAGAAGCTACAAATACTTTACTTTATTTTATTTTTTTTTGGACTGAAGATCCTCTTTAATTTGTTATCCTGTCCAGGGATAGATTAATACAAAAAAAATTCTTTACTATATTGACTTCACCCAGCATAAGCAATTTAAACTGGGTACATTACAATCCCCCACTTTGTCCCAAAATGTCTAAATATTGGCAATTTTATGCCCGCCATCTGGACATGTGCCCATGTAGAGGGGAGGGGGAGGTGTACGCGTCTGAAATAGTTCATCCAAAAGCACACAAAGTTCACATTTTAGTTTGTACTTCAGATCAATAACTTCTGAATCGCTGGAACATTATGATGTCTTCTCTCACCTTATCCTGGAGATTGAGAGGTTATATAGCTGTATGTGCTGGATAATCTCATCAATCAGCCTGTCAGTCATTGCATCAAAGTCGGCAAACGTGTCATTCTAAAAGAGGAATGAAAAACATCATAATAACTGAGTTTACAACAGAGGAAGAGAACATTGTGTGTGGTTCATACACTATATATTTTGAAAGTCACCCAGGCTTTTCAGCCCGACAGGTTGAGGGGCTCTTGGGTGTTAATATCATATAGAGGAGACTGGAATTTCTACTTCCTCAGAGATCGGAAAAACCTGCTTTGGGCTCTGGAGCACAGAGGTTTTGTAGAGACCTGGAAGGGAAGAAGCCACCAAACCTTGGCCCATGCTTCACCAGTAGCCAGCATTCTGATTGTGCAGGGTAAATATATCTTGGGAATATTAACTCAAGGTCATTCTTCCAAGGATTTGCCAATTCACCACTTACCAATTCTTATATTTTTACAGCATTTTGTACCCACTTTCTTAAAAGAAAGCTTCACAAAACATGGTTCTGCCATGAAGGGGTTTTCAGCACCAAAACACAAGCACTTCATATCAGCCTCCTGGCTTGCTCTTGTAGCACAACTGCTCTGGCCCTTGACTGTTCCTCCAGACAACTCTTTCTTGGGCACACATGCACTCCTGACAGCTCCCTTGCAGCTACACTGACCGCTTGCTGGAGTGGGTGGAGCCCTGAATTATTGCATGTACATAACTCATAAGGGCTGTGCATACCTGCACAATCAGCATGCTGCCTACTGGAAAAAAATATAAACCCAGAATTGGATACTTCATCCTTCCTACATGTGTACGAAGCCTCCAGACTCCAGGACCCAGATTTTTCCAATCTCTGAAGAAACTGGAAATCCTGGATTCTTCATATGACATAAGCAGACCTAAGAACTTAGCACAGAGATACGGGAAGGATCAATACAGGAAGAAACAGAGTCCTCCAGCAGAGCAGAGTATTTCAGTAGAGGAGAGTTATAGAGGAAGGAGCGGAGTCCTCCAGCAGTGCAGAGTATATCAGGAGAGGAGAGTTATAGAGGAAGGAGCAGAGTCCTCCAGCAGAGCAGAGTATTTCAGGAGAGGAGAGTTATAGAGGAAGGAGCAGAGTCCTCCAGCAGTGCAGAGTATTTCAGGAGAGGAGATTTATAGAGGAAGGAAGAGAGTCCTCCAGTAGTGCAGAGTATTTCAGGAGAGGAGATTTATAGAGGAAGGAGCGGAGTCCTCCAGTAGTGCAGAGTATTTCAGGAAAGGAAAGTTATAGAGGAAGGAGCGGAGTCCTCCAGCAGTGCAGAGTATTTCAGTAGAGGAGAGTTTACAGGAAGGAGCAGAGTCCTCCAGCAGCGCAGAGTATTTCAGGAGAGGAGAGTTATAGAGGAAGGGGCAGAGTCCTCCAGCAGTGCAGAGTATTTCAGGAGAGGAGAGTTATAGAGGAAGGAGCAGAGTCCTCCAGCAGTGCAGAGTATTTCAGTAGAGCAGAGTTATAGATGAAGCAGAGCAGAGTATTTCAGGAGAGGAGAGTTATTGGAAGGAGCGGAGTCCTCCAGCAGTGCAGAGTATATTAGGAGAGGAGAGTTATAGAGGAAGGAGCAGAGTCCTCCAGCAATGCAGAGTCTATCAGGAGAGGAGAGTTATAGAGGAAGGAGCGGAGTCCTCCAGCAGTGCAGAGTATTTCAGGAGAGAAGAGTTATAGAGGAAGGAGTGGAGTCCTCCAGCAGAGCAAAGTATTTCAGGAGGGGAGAGTTATAGAGGAAGGAGCAGAGTCCCCAAGTGCAGAGTATTTTAGGAGAGGAAAGTTATAGAGGAAGGAGCGGAGTCCCCAAGTGCAGAGTATTTTAGGAGAGGAAAGTTATTGAGGAAGGAGCAGAGTCCTCCAACAGAGTGGAGTATTTCAGGACCGGAGAGTTATAGAGGAAGGAGCAGAGTCCTCCAGCAGTGCAGAGTATTTCAGTAGAGCAGAGTTATAGATGAAGCAAGCAGAGCAGAGTATTTCAGGAGAGGAGAGTTATAGAGGAAGGAGCGGAGTCCTCCAGCAGTGCAGAGTATTTCAGGAGAGGAGTTATAGAGGAAGGAGCGGAGTCCTCCAGCAATGCAGAGTATATCAGGAGAGGAGAGTTATAGAGGAAGGAGTAGAGTCCTCCAGCAATGCAGAGTATTTCAGGAGAGGAGAGTTATAGAGGAAGGAGCAGAGTCCTCCAGCAGTGCAGAGTATTTCAGGAGAGGAGAGTTATAGAGGAAGGAGCGGAGCAGTCCTCCAGCAAGCAGCAGAGTCCTCCAGCAGTGCAGAGTATTTCAGGAGAGGAGAGTTATAGAGGAAGGAGCGGAGTCCTCCAGCAATGCAGAGTATTTCAGGAGAGGAGAGTTATAGAGGAAGGAGCAGGTCCTCCAGCAGAGCAGAGTATTTCAGGAGAGGAGAGTTATAGAGGAAGGAGCGGAGTCCTCCAGCAGAGCAGAGTATTTCAGGGGAGGAGAGTTATAGAGGAAGGAGCAGAGTCCTCCAGCAGAGCAGAGTATTTCAGGAGAGGAGAGTTATAGAGGAAGGAGCGGAGTCCTCCAGCAATGCAGAGTGGTGGTATAGGGGTTCCTTTTACCCTAATGCAAACAGTTTGTGATGGATAATAATCTGCTTATCATTTTCTAAAAATGTTTACTTTGCCCGACAACCATAATGCACAAAAGCACACTAACATATAACACATTTTACACTCCATTGCACAATAAACATCCTAATTATACCAATATACATCCATACACACCTGATTTTTTTCAGACATAAGGAAGTCCAGATTTGACCTCGGTAGACCCAGCTCAAGAAACGTTTTGACCAATCGAAGATCTGCGCTGTTACCTGCAATATTTATTTGATTTTAAAATATTTGCATTTTATTAAAGTGTATCTAAACCCAAAACTCAAAATGTAATATAGTACACTAGTACTAGTTATTGGTGTGGTTACTGTATTTATTTTCTTTTTCAAGCTTCCTTTGCTTTATTTTCACCTGTTAATCCAGCACATAACATACTTCCTGTCCCGGAGTGGCTATGTCACCCCTCCACTGTATCTATGGAGGGAACCATGGTTGTCACCCTAGACTGCTCCCCTGATATGGACTGCAAACATGTCAGTATCTTTTCATCTCATTACATGGTAGGCAGGGCAATTGGTAGATTACATCAGATAGATAGTAAGGAAGATATTCCGTTGTGTAGCACACAGTTCTGGCAAGACCAACAGGTATTTTCTGTACTTGCTGAAAGGAGCATACAAAGCTGCGATATATTGTCTTGTTGTTCTTGGGTTTAGTTATCCTTTAAAGTTATCTTGTTCAACCGCAAAGTACTTAAAGTCCATCTCCAGGCAAAACAAAAAAATGTTTTCCCATGCAGTGGGGCTTTGTCCGCACTGCATGGGTTACCTGCTCTTTTTTTTCTAGGGGAGAGGATAATGGAGATATACTTACCTAATGCTCCGATCCTCCCAGCAACAAGACAGGTCCAGCACCCTAGCGCTCCAGCGCTCTTGAGTTGTGGACTGTACCTAACGTCATAAAGCCCAGAGCAGGTTCCATAGACCAGGAACAGTCCACCATTGGACTGTGAGGGGAGCACCATTTTTGGTGGAACGAAGGATCAGGTGAGTAAGCAGGTTAAATAGACCAGGAACAGTCGACCATTGGACCATGAGGGGAGCACCATTTTTGGTGGAATTATTACATTACATTACATCGAGTTTATATAGCGCCAAAGGGTTTGCTCAGCGCTGTACAATAGAGGGGGGGACAATACATGAAACATTACAGCAGCTACAAACAGCACACGAGGGGTTATAGGGCCCTACTCTTTCGAGCTTACAATCTAGGAGGGAGGGGGGTAGTGGTACAGGAAGAAGTGGCTGTGGGGGATGGAGTGGTAGGAGGAATGAAGGAGAGCAGCAGTTAGGTGAGGGTGGGGTAGGCTTCCCTGAAGAGGTGGGTTTTGAGGGAGCGCCTGAAGGTGAGGAGGGAAGGTGACAGTCTGATGGATTGGGGTAGTGAGTTCCAGAGGATGGGGGAGGACCTGGAGAAGTCTTGCAGATGTGCATGTGAGGAGGAGACCAGGGAGCAAGATAGAAGGAGGTCCTGTGAATAGCGAAGGGTACGGGTAGGGTGGTACTTGGGAATCAGGTTGGTTAGGTAGTTAGGGGCAGTGTTGTGAACGGCTTTGTAGGTCAGAGTGAGTAGTTTGAATTTGATGCGTTGGGCGATAGGGAGCCAGTGGAGGGATAGGCAGAGGGGGGTGGCAGAGGTGGAGCGGCTGGTGAGGTGGATGAGTCTAGCCGCTGAGTTCAGGATGGTCTGAAGTGGGGAGAGCCTGCACTGGGGTAGGCCGGTGAGGAGGGAGTTGTAGTAGTCAAGGCGTGAGATAATCAGGGAGTGTACGAGTAGTTTAGTGGTGTCTGGGGTAAGGAAGGTGCGTATTTTGGCGATGTTGCGGAGGTGGAGCCTGCATGTGTTTGTAAGTGATTTGACATGAGATTGGAAGGAGAGGTTAGAGTCCAGAATGACTCCAAGGACTTTGGCTTGCGGGGCGGGATTGATGGTGGTGATGTTAGTAGTGATGGATAGGATGGGGGGGGGGGGCGCGGGCAGGGGGGAAGACGAGAAGCTCGGTTTTGGAGAGGTTAAGCTTGAGGAAATTTAGGAGGTGAGTGATGCGGGCGAGAAAGTGGGGGTGAGGTGGGGGGTGGAGAGGTAAATTTGAGTGTCATCAGCGTAGAGGTGGTAGTTGAAGCCGTGGGAGTGTATGAGTTTGCCAAGGGAGGAGGTGTAGATGGAGAAAAGAAGGGGTCCAAGGACAGAGCCCTGGGGGACCCCAACAGAGAGGGGGAGGGAAGGGGAGGTGGCACCATTGTAGGAAACGCTGAAGGAGCGTCGGGATAGGTAAGAGGAGAACCAGGAGAGAGCGGTGTCTCTGATGCCAAGGGAGAGTAGTTTATTAAGGAGGAGGGGGTGGTCAACTGTGTCGAAGGCCGCGGAGAGGTCCAGGAGGAGGAGGACAGAGTAGTCGCCTTTGGCTTTGGCGGTTAGTAGGTCGTTGGTGATTTTGAGGAGGGCGGTTTCGGTGGAGTGTAGGGGACAGAAGCCGGACTGTAGTGGATCAAGGAGGTTGTTGTCAGTTAGGTGGGCGCTTAGGCGGTCGTAGACTAAGCGAATGAAGGATCAGGAATGAAGGATCAGGTAAATATAAGCTTTCGCCTCACCCCTACACAAAATTAGCAGTTGACCTGTGCAGTGCAGACACAGCCCGACTGCACAGAAAATCTTTTTTTTGTGCCCAAAGTTGGACTAAAGGAAACAGTGACAAATAATAAATCAGTAAACAAAAACACAAATGGCTATATGTAAGGTATTAAAGGCACAATTTACAATATTCTTTCGAGAGCTGTCATTCATAAGTGATAACCGAACCTGGAAAACATTTGCCTGCAGACCTGTCTGACTGACGGCAAACCATGCAGTTCAAAAACCCAGGCAATCATTGATCGTATGATCCAAAATGCAATTTGAAAATGCAAGAAATTAAAACAGCGACGTATATTACCATCCAGCCCATGCACACAGATCACAAGATGGATGCCATCTTCCAAGTGCTCCTCTTCTGGTGGGAAATAAGGAAGGTCTGAGGCCAATATGGGGAGGTCACTGTACATGAAACCTTCAAATTTCAGGTCTTCTATAAATTTTTCTTTAGCCTGGTGAAAACTAGAGAAAAGATTTATCAACAGCATGAGGGAAGCAATTGCAAGATATAGGTGTGTTGGTCTACTAAAACTGAAGAGTGCAAATCCTGGTGCAGCTCTACAAAGAAACCAATCCGCTTCCAGGTTCTATTGTCAATGCGTAAGTGAACAAACTGAAGTTGAAAGCTGATTGGCTACTATACACAGCTGCATCAGATTTTGCACTCTCCAGTTTTTGGAAAATCAACCCCAAAGTATTTAAATTGACCTACCTGCAATTTATAAAACTAGAGTAAAAGGATATTATGTTAAACAGCATGAGAGGTTGATATAGTAAAGAACTAGAGGCCGTTCACCCAGTTTAATTAATAAAGTTTTTTAACTATCCAATCATGTGTGAAAAAAAAAATTATTGGGATTTCTAAGGTGAAAACAATCTTATTTATTTACAGACCTAAGTGAATATTCAGTTTGGAAACATAGTCTCTGCTCCTCTAATAAATCATTAGTATATCACCCCGGTATAGTGTAACAGAGTGAGTAAAACACACATACAGTGGTGCAAAAAAGTATTTAGTCAGCCACCAATTGTGCAAGTTCTCCCACTTAAAAAGATGAGAGAGGCCTGAAATTGGCATCATAGGTAGACTTCAACTATGAGAGACAAAATGAGAAACAAATTCTAGACAATCACATTGGCTGAATTGGAAAGAATTTATTTGCAAATTATGGTGCAAAATAAGTATTTGGTCACCTACAAACAAGCAAGATTTCTGGCTCTCACAGACCTTTACCTTCTTCTTTAAGAGGCTCCTCTGTCCTGCACTCATTACCTGTATCAATGGCACCTGTTTGAACTTGTTATCAGTATAAAAGACACCTGTCCACAACCTCAAACAGTCACACTCCAAACTCCACTATGGTGAAGACCAAAGAGCTGTCGAAGGACACCAGAAACAAAATTGTAGACCTGCACCAGGCTGGGAAGACTGAATCTGCAATAGGCAAGCAGTTTGGTGTGAACAGATCAACTGTGGGGGCAATAATTATAAAATGGAAGACATACAAGACCACTGATAATCTCCCTCGATCTGGGGCTGCACGCAAGATCTCACCCCGTGGAGTCAAAATGATTACAAGAACGGTGAGAAAAAAATCCCAGGACCCCACGGGGGGACCTTGTGAATGACCTGCAGAGAGCTGGGACAAACGTAACAAAGGCTACCATCAGTAACACACTACGCCACCAGGAACTCAGATCCTGCAGTGCCAGACGTGTCCCCCTGCTTAAGCCAGTGCATGTCCGGGCCCGTCTGAAGTTTGCTAGAGAGCATTTGGATGATCCAGAAGAGGACTGGGAGAATGTCATATGGTCAGATGAAACCAAAATAGAACTGTTTGGTAGAAACACAACTCGTCGTGTTTAGAGGAGAGAGAATACTGAGTTGCATCCAAAGAACACCATACCTACTGTGAAGCATGGAGGTGGCAACATCATGCTTTGGGGCTGTTTCTCCACAAAGGGACCGGGACGACTGATCCATGTACAGGACAGAATGAATGGGGCCATGTATGGTGAGATTTTGAGTGCAAACCTCCTTCCATCAGCAAGGGCACTGAAGATGAAACGTGGCTGGGTCTTCCAACATGACAATGATCCCAAACATACCGCCCCCGGGCAACGAAGGAGTGGCTTCGTGAGAGGCATTTCAAGGTCCTGGAGTGGCCTAGCCAGTCTCCAGATCTCAACCCCATAGAAAACCTTTGGAGGGAGTTGAAAGTCCGTGTTGCCCAGCGACAGCGCCAAAACATCACTGCTCTAGAGGGGATCTGCATGGAGGATGGGCCAACATACCAGCAACAGTGTGTGCCAACCTTGTGAAGACTTACAGGAAACGTTTGACCTCTGTCATTGCCAACAAAGGATATATTGAGATGAACTTTTGATATTGACCAAATACTTATTTTCCACCATAATTTGCAAATAAATTCTTTCCAAATCAGCCAAAGTGATTGTTTGGATTTTTTTTCTCATTTTGTCTCTCATAGTTGAGGTCTACCTATGATGCCAATTACAGGCCTCTCTCATCTTTGTAAGTGGGAGAACTTGCACAATTGGTGGCTGACTAAATACTTTTTTGCCCCACTGTATATACGTTATATAGTATATTCTTTGGCAGCCATTGTAACAACAACATCCGCCTATCCAAGGCCTGGGTTTGAAGAATCACCATGAAGGCCATGAAAAACATCAGGATCAGCAGGCTACCATTAGTTTTAGGGCTTGTGTGTGAGCAAATGCAGCATGCTTTCACATGCATTCAGATTCCATATGAAATCAATTTATAGATACAGTCAGGTCCATAAATATTGGGACATCGACACAATTCTAACATTTTTGGCTCTATACACCACCACAATGGATTTGAAATAAAATGAACAAGATGTGCTTTAACTGCAGACTGTCAGCTTTAATTTGAGGGTATTTTACATCCAAATCAGGTGAAATGTGTAGGAATTACAACAGTTTGCATATGTGCTTCCCACGTGTTAAGGGACCAAAAGTAATGGGACAATTGGCTTCTCAGCTGTTCTATGGCCAGGTGTGTGTTATTCCCTCATTATCCCAATTACAATGAGCAGATAAAAGGTCCAGAGTTCATTTCAAGTGTGCTATTTGCATTTGGAATCTGTTGCTGTCAACTCTCAAGATGAGATCCAAAGAGCTGTCACTATCAGTGAAGCCATCATTAGGCTGAAAAAACAAAACAAACCCTTCAGAGAGATAGCAAAAACATTAGGCATGGCCAAAACAACTGTTTGGAACATTCTTAAAAAGAAGGAACGCACCGGTGAGCTCAGCAACACCAAAAGACCTAGAAGACCACGGAAAACAACTGTGGTGGATGACCGAAGAATTCTTTCCCTGGTGAAGAAAACACCCTTCACAACAGTTGGCCAGATCAAGAACGCTCTCCAGGATCTCCGGGAGGTAGGTGTATGTGTGTCAAAGTCAACAATCAAGAGAAGACTTCACCAGAGTGAATACAGAGGGTTCACCATAAGATGTAAACCATTGGTGAGCCTCAAAAACAGGAAGGCCAGATTAGAGTTTGCCAAATGACATCTAAAAAAGCCTTCACAGTTCTGGAACAACATCCTATGGACAGATGAGACCAAGATCAACTTGTACCAGAGTGATGGGAAGAGAAGAGTATGGAAAAGGAAAGGAACTGCTCATGATCCTAAGCATACCACCTCATCAGTGAAGCATGGTGGTGGTAGTGTCATGGCGTGGGCATGTATGGCTGCCAATGGAACTGGTTCTCTTGTATTTATTGATGATGTGACTGCTGACAAAAGCAGCAGGATGAATTCTGAAGTGTTGCGGGCAATATTATCTGCTCATATTCAGCCAAATGCTTCAGAACTCATTGGACGCCGCTTCACAGTGCAGATGGACAATGACCCAAAGCAGACTGCAAAAGCAACCAAAGAGTTTTTTTAAGGAAAAGAAGTGGAATGTTATGCAATGGCCAAGTCAATCACCTGACCTGAATCCGATTGAGCATGCATTTCACTTGCTGAAGACAAAACTGAAGGAAAATGCCCCAAGAACAAGCAGGAACTGAAGACAGTTGCAGTAGAGGCCTGGAAGAGCATCACCAGGGATGAAACCCAGCATCTGGTGATGTCTATGCGTTCCAGACTTCAGGCTGTAATTGACTGCAAAGGATTTGCAAGCAAGTATTAAAAAGTGAAAGTTTGATTTATGATTATTATTCTGTCCCATTACTTTTGGTCCCTTAACAAGTGGGAGGCACATATGCAAACTGTTGTAATTCCTACACCGTTCACCTGATTTGGATGTAAATAGCCTCAAATTAAAGCTGACAGTCTGCAGTTAAAGCACATCTTGTTCGTTTCATTTCAAATCCATTGTGGTGGTGTATAGAGCCAAAAATGTTAGAATTGTGTCAATGTCCCAATATTTATGTCCTGACCTCAACTCTACTGAACACCGTGGTGAATTGGAATTTCAATTCCGAGCCAGGTCCTGACCTCATAGTTTTGTTTTGTTTTTTTTGGTTGAGTGGCCACAATTCCACACAGATACACTCCAAAATCTCCTTGTCAGAAGTGTGAAGGCTGATAGAGCCACAAAGGTCGATCAACTCCATTTTAATGCCCATGGGTTTGGAATAAAATGTCCAACCAGTTTATGTAGGCATAATGGTCAGGTATTCACACATTTTTGGCCATATCATGTAATTACACTACTTATATGCACTTGGTCTGCAACCCTGAAACAATAAGGAACTCATATTTCCTCATGTCAATATTACAACTCTATGATTTTTAATAGAGTGGAAATGTGTTCTACAATGTTTGGCCATTTGGCCCCACTATATCTTCAACCTCAAATTAGAGATGATTCTTCACCCCTTATGTCCTCCTTTTCACACTGAGCAAACTTTTTATTTTTTTACCTTTTTTTCTTGGTAAAAAATTCAGGACCACCATACCCCCCCCCCCCCCCCCCCCGCCCTCCCCCCCAATGCACATCAATCACCTAGGCAAATGATGTGTATTATGCCCGCTGTGCCTGGGATATGCATGTCACATATTCCAGGAGGCATACTCTTTCTTTGAAAAAGGAGGAGGGGGCAAGCCTAGTGGACTGTGATTGTGAGGCCCGGATGAACCCAGAAAAGCCAATGAGCCTCCTGATGGCATCACATAAGAAGATGCCAGTGCAGGACTGACTGGGGAAATAATTCTGACAGGATTCTGCAGGACACTGCTGGATCCACTGGGTGGGTAAGTACCCTAAAGAGTTATAATCCTCAATAAAGTTTACATTGGTCCAAAAAAAAAACCATAATGGGATGGGGATGGTGGAGATGTGCTTTAATGATGATTTTAAGCCCACCTATGTTAAACTTACATGGTGGACCAAATCTCTCTGCTTGTATATTAAAGTGCACATATGGCCTCATTATATTACCAAGATCTTGAAGACTGACCAAATTAAAAACTAACTTTCATTTGCAGTAACTTTTGAATAAATATCATCACGGTGTGTCCAATGCAGAGGTCCACTTATCAAATAGAAAGGAATACTCTTTGAAAAACATAACAATGTGGAGTCTCACAGTGCTTCTTGTTTTGCATGTTAACCTTTATTGAACAAGCAGGGACACTATGTTCTTTTAATGACACATTTCATAAAATTCATCAAAGGGAATGCAAAACATGGATGGACATCTTTGTTGCTTCTTGATCAATAAAACTTTACATGCAGAAGAGGAAGTTCTGAATAACTTTGCATTTCTTCCCATGATGATAGGTGAAAAAGCCTGGAGTTTTACCAACAGTAAAAGTAGATTGAGAAGCAGTGGTTGGGATATGTAAACTTATAAAAACTTTGAAAAACACCAAAATGCCTGGTCTGGTGGAAATTATAGTACTAAGATGCCTTCGGCCCTCTTAACCCAACTGTCTTGTGCCACTTCTGCCTATCTACTGTATGTTGACCCACTAGTTTTATTATTACGCTGAAAAGATCAGAGATCATACATGGCACATAAAGACTGGGGGTGGAGATACTGGAAGATGTCCCATCTGTGGTAGAACACCTAGAACCTACAACTAACAAATGATGGCAAACTGTGACCCAATTTTGTTAGTAGTTCCATTTTGAGTTTATGGCCATACAGTATGTTAACCGCAAGCATATTTTTTCACTAAAAAAAAAACTTTTTTGATGTAGCAACAATTAGGAACCAAATGGACTGAACTGGAAGGCAAAGCAGCAAACTGTAGCCTTTTATTATACACAGAATTGTACTATTGATAGTAAGCAACATGCAACGTGGCAGCTGGAATGTTATCTCACCTAAGCATTCGTTCATTAACTTCTTCATCGTTATCTGAAGAATTCCCTGAAATAACCCCAAAAGATCCCAGCGGTTGCCTTGTTATCGGGAACAGCGCTTGTTTGCTTGAAAAGCCAGGAATAACTGGAGTGTCCTTTTGTATTGAAGAAAAAGGCAAGCATGTTGCTGTACAAGAAACAGAGAGGTTAACCATATCCACACCTCGCCTTCCATCTGGGGCCAAAACTGTGGTTGAACTTGAGCTTGATTGCGATGGAGAAGTGCACACGTTTTTGCTCAATTTATGATTGGAGTCCATGTCTAACAATTCCTGATCTGAGCCAGAGTAATTATCAAGTAATTGTTCACTACTGGAATCTTCAGTGAGTTCAATCTCTTGCAAATATGGATACTCTTCCATGGCCTCATTAGTTTCGGGCAAATTGGAGAAACGGGCTTGTGACGCGTCATCCTCTATCAACATTTCTAATGAAAATGTTGTTGAGTCCAGCTTTCCAGGCCTTTGGCTCAGACAATCTGAAAAACATTCATCTTCCTGAATATTTAAATTGCACATCAAAGTTCGTCCATAGGGATCGTCACCATCTAGCATGACTTTGTCAGATTCAGAGAACAAATTCTCTAAACTGCTGATGGAATTTGACATGGAACGATCAACTACGGGTTTGGTGTATGAAGACTCAACAGTTACACTGTGAGAATATCCCTCACTACACATTTCTGTGGTCATTACACATTCAGTCCTAGCAGCATCATTGACGTTGACCAAAGTGTTGTCTTGGTTGTCCTCATCAGTCTCCGCTTTTACCACAGTCATTTCATTTGCTATTTCCTCGGGGCTACTGATTTGTGGCGCAGAAACAGATTTAGTTAGTTTTGAAAGTTCCACCTCTCTTTCCTCCTCTTCAAATGGCAAGGAGTTAATGGAAGTCAATGAAGCTTGAATGCCACTTGGTAAGCTCGTGTTACTCTCTGTCTGTACTCCCTCCAGTGAGTTTCGATGCATATCATACTTTCCAGATAACTGCTGTAAAAGCTGCTTATCGCTGCCTGGGTCTACTGTCCTAGAGCGGGTATCACACCAAGCTACAGAGCTTGGCTCGCTCTCTATTCCCGAGTCAGATATCAAAGATGATGACCGCTTGATCACATCTGAACACAATGAAAAATGGTCAAGCTTATCACTAGGAAAAGAATTTGCTACAAGTGCCTTCTTCAAAGATTTACCTATCAATTCTGTACTATTACTTTTGGACAGAATGTGCATACCTTGGTGTAATCTCCTCTTATTAAGGCTTTGCCCATTTTTAAAATCTCCTGCATCATGCATTGCTATGCTTTCAGATTCTAAACTCTCTTTAGTCAACCCACCCAACCCAAGAGCAGCCTCCATGAGGTTAAACTCTACTTCTGTTGCAGAGCCATGACTAGGAAAAGAACCATTGACAATTAACACAGGTTCTCCTCTGTACTGGTTGACTGTGCTAGGCTTTACTTCAATATACGTTACACCTGTTGATTTATGTTCTGGTGGATCCTCATGAGATATTTCAGGTCCATCTGGCATTGATTCTTGTAGGTCAATTGTAGCCCCAAGCTTCAGAACCTTAGAAACACTTTCTGTTTTCTGGAAAGGTTCCTGGTAACTGTGCACTGGGCTCTTGTTTGAGATGATGTCTTCTGGTATGTGGACACATTGACTGGTTTCTTCAAAAGAAGCATTTTCATACACGGTTGTAGTCTGGATCAAATGGTCACTTATATTGCTACTGCCTAGGATGGTCTCAGATTTATATTTCTTTTCTTCAACTGTTTTAAACAAAAGTGAAAAAAAATAGAAGAACATTACATTAAATTAAACTTACAAATGGCAAAATATTATTAGATATTATTAGAAGAGTTGCAACAAATCTAGATGCTGTTTCCTGATTTCATCCCTGTCTGCCAACTCATAACATCACTGGTTATCTGTTTTATTGCTACTTGCTGATTAGAGAGTTCTAGCTATTTGATGACCTCTGCAGACAGACCACTGTTTCAATACAAAGAGTAAAGGTCCTTCTATGCAGCATTATGGCAAGGAACAGGCCTTTCTAGTCAGAATGCGGATGCTTTCTAAGGAAAATGAACAGTAGACTTTGCACACCGTTTGTACTGATGTAAAGTACCTTTATGCATTTCCAGTAGCACTTCAGTGTACCCACCTATCCTGGGATGTTCCACGTATCTGTCTTCAAAAATGATGGGAAGAGAACTCCAGTCTCCATCTATGTCTAGACATTCAACCGGTAGAGGAGGCATGCTGGTGAGGTACTCTGAGCTCCTGACTACCGACGACAAGTTACCGTGACTCTGAATCCTAGAAACAGGTGAAAACATTTTCATGAGAGTGCTGAAAATCCAAAGGAAGATCTTTTGGCTAGGGCAGACAAAATGCATTTATTCAGGGAATTAGAATGTGGTCTGTGTTTTGGATAGTTTAAGTAAATATCCAAAATACACTCACCAGCCACTTTATTAGGTACACCATTGCTAGTTCCAAGAAAATCACCCCCACACCAATACACCACCACCACCAGCCTGAACCGTTGATACAAGGAAGGATGGATTCATGCTTTCATGTTGTTAATGCCAAATTCTGACCCTACCATCTGAATGTCACAGCTGAACCAGTCTGCCAATTCTCCTCTGACCTCTGACATCAACAAGGCATTTTCATCCACACAACTGCCGCTCACTGGATATTTTCTTTTTTTCAGACCATTCAACCCTAGATATGGTTGTGCATGAAAATTCCAGTAGATAAGCGATTTTTGAAGTACTCAGACCAGCCTGTCTGGCACCAACAACCATGCCACATTCAAAGTCACTTAAATTCCCTTCGTTCCTCATTCTAATGCCTGTCTAATGTTTGAACTTCAGCAATTCGTCTTCACCACATCTAGATGCCTAAACGGATTGAGTTGCTGCCATGCGATTGGCTGATTAGCAATTTGTGTTACCAAGCAATTGAACAGGTGTACCTAATAAAGTGGCCAATAAGTGTACATTCCAATACTTCCAATATTACTGGCCATCCCTACAGACCCCTCTCCCCCCCACCTCGCATATAATAGCCATGATGCCCTGAGCTCCCGGTGCAGTGATATGTACACCATACACCACAATACACAGCCCCTGAGTGAGTATCCATCATAATGCTTGCAATGGAAGCTTCTCTTTGGTCAGCACAACCATGTGACCATGTTGAACAATTAGAAGTGCATCTGAGGCTTTTTCTTTCAATGAGATTTCCCAGAAGAAAGAAGCCCTTCTCATCGGTCAGCACAGGGGCGTATTTACCACAAGGCAAACAAGGCACTTGCCTAGGGTGGCATTTTTTTTTTACGGGGGCAGCACTGCCCCCCCCCGGAAGAAGGGACATATGCGGCATGGGGACCAGGTGGGATCTGAGAGAGGCTGCGGGCTGCTTGATGGTGTATGCAGAGCCCAACTGTCGTTCCCGGGGATGTCCAGAGCTGGAAAGGTGAGTGTCTCCCTCTCTGTTGCCGGGGGCAGGAGTGTTGTTGGTCACTGCCAACACTGGTCACTGGAGGGGGAGCTGGTCTGGTGTTGGTCGGTGTCAGGCTCTTTCTGGGGGGGGGGGGGCAGTTTGGGGCGTCCAATTTTTGTGTTGCCTAGGGCAGCACAAAACCTAAATACACCACTGGGTCAGCACTGTTGCGCTTTGCAAACATTATGATGAATACCCACTCTGGGCTGTGTATTGCAGTGTATAGAACACTACATTGACAGCATAGGACATAAAGGCCGCTATGTGCAGCCAGGTCCAAAGGAGTCTACAGGAAATTTGTTCACCTATTTCTGAAAAGGTGAACTTATCATTGAAGCAAGGAAAAATGTGGCCTCACTGACCAATGAGAAAAGCTTATTTCTTCTGAAAAAACCTTACCAACTGAAGAAGCCTCAGATGTGCTTCTCATTGATCAGGACGGTCACATGTTCATGCTGCCCAATGAGCACAATATGCTCAATGAGTCCAATATGATGGACACTCACTCCTGGGCTGTACTGCCATGTATGGTGTATGGACCGATACACTGGCAGCATGGGGCAACCCAGCCAGTATGCTGCAACAGGGTCCAGGGGTGTGGCCAAGATATTTAGAGTTAGTTCGACTTTTCGTTTCATCTGAACAGGTGAACTTACCCTTTAAAAACTATTTAAAATTACATACTCATCTAAAACTACCCTGTCCGGAAGGTGATATGAAGGATGTCACTTCAGTGTGAACAGTGTGGTCACGGGGGGGGGGCTTAAAAAAACAAAAACAACAGTAATGGTGACAAACTGCAGTATATATTGTACGTCCTTATTAATTTTGCCAATAGTAATTATGGTCATTATCAAAAACAAACCCCGCTGTCACCATCTGGAAGTGACACCATTCATGCTTATGGAAAGCCTGTAGACCACTGAGATAAACGGTGGGCAGTCCTCGCATGGGAATGAATAGGGATTTTCCATGCATATGCGGAAGCAGCAGAGCCTCTTGTTAGAAAGGTAGCCAGAGATTTCTGCAGATTTCTGCTTTTCAGAACCATCTCCCCAGCTGTTAGAGATCCCTGTTGGACCCTTGATGCAATGGGCTGTCTCGTTGAATAATAGAGGAATTCAGGAGGCGGTGGGATTAAGCAGGGCATGGAAAACTGGAGCTTCGTACATAACTTCAGCTGCCTATATCTCTGGATATACTAACCATTTTGCTGTGTGCAACTGACGGTAATCCCTGCCTAACACCTCCATAGTGGTGAACATGTGAGCATGCCCAGTGGTTTATTTAGGTTTTGTGCTGCCCTAGGCAACACAAAAGAGCCTGACATTGACCAAGAACAACCCTACTCTCCACCCTTCCACTACCACTGCCCCCCATACACCAGCCACCATCCCCCATGGCGAGAAAGAGAAAGACACTCACCTTCACAGCTCCGGACATCCTCAGGAACGAGAATCGGGCTGTGCATACACCATCATGAAACCCACAGCATCTCTCGGAACCCACCAGGTCCCCATGCCACGTGTGTCCCTTCTTCCATCCCTTCTTCCAAGGAGCAGTGCTGCCCCACCTGAAAAATGCCGCCCTAGGCAAATTCCTTGTTTCCCTTGTTGTAAATACACCTCTGAGTGTGCCATTTAGTACGGTAGTACTCTGAACCCATGCAGAGGACACACCCCCAGGGGGTGGATCTATGACAGCCTGGGCTGAAAGGAAGTGGTTTGAATGATTCTGGCTGAGGACATCTGGTGGTGGAAAAGAATTACTGCGGGAAATAGCTCTAGATTGAAAGTGAGTATTGCAGTATCTTTTTTTTTTTACATAGTAATGGGCGAATCTTTTTTTTTTTTTGAGTGGAGATATGATTTTAATGTATATGTTCAGTAATTATTGAAAATATTCTAACATATGGTCAGCAGTGCAGATGAAAGTACTATCACAAACTCACAGATTTTCTTGAAACGTGAGAGCAGCTGGTTTTTCATATTCAGCGTAGAAAAAGGCTTCTGAAAATCTTCTTACCTACAGGAGACACAAGATAAATTAGACATCACAATGATACAGTGGAAGCAGTACTAGCAAATACATAGTAATATCATAGCAGTTGTTATTCGATTTTAATAAACGATAAATAAAAATACTTATATTAATAAAAATACATTATTATTATTAATATTGTAATTATACAATAACAAAATACAATTTTTATTAAACTGTTTTCTGATTTTTTCCACTCTTTCTGTCCTTTCAAATGGAATTTTTTTTTTTTTACATGAATCAATAAGCCACATGTCAGCTTTGCCTAATCACATCATTATTCGGATAGGCTACAAATGAAAAAAAAAAGCTGTTACCATATTCCCCCGTGCAGGGCTGGTGCTAGACTATTTTGTGCCTTAGGTAAGAACAGCTAATTGAGCCCCCCTCCAAAAAAAAAAAAAAAATGGAAAACAAAATTGAAAATATTAAATCAACAAAACATGAAACTGCTACATTTCTTTTAATTTGCAATAAAAGGTGCCATAAGACAGATCCCAGGCTGGAATTCCCCAGGTGATGGGGGGGATATAAAACACGTACAGCAGGCATTTCAGCCCACACATACAGAGAACACCTGAACTAAGCGATCCCACACAGTGACCGATCTGACACAACACACCACCACCGACATTGATACAGATCAGTAGGCCCAGCAGGCACTAGAAGAGCAGGCTGTGGGATCGTGATGATGTCATCACTCACTGACACATTGCACATGTGATGGGTGTCCGGCTGGGTCACATTCACACAGCTATGAAACATCAGAGTCAGACATTACCTTCCTCCACAGGCGCAGCTCTGCCTCCGCTGATGAATGGGAAGAGAAGAGCTGGAACTCCACAGTGATCAGCAGCCACCAGCCGGCTTGCAGTAAAGGGACTGAGTCTGAGAGGAACACTGGAAGGAGTGGCAACTCAGCTGCTACACTGGCCCCAGACACCAGGCACCTTTCTTCCTCCCCTCTGCAGCTCCTTTCCTCAGCTGAAGGATTGCTGGCCTGTGCTGCACCCAGGTGCCACTAGGTGGCAGTGCACCCTAGGTGGCTGCCTAGTTTGCCTAGTGGAAGCATCAGCCTGTAGTCAATATATAATGAGGAGTATCACCCCCCCTAAGCCTATGAACACTGAAGGAGAGCCAGAATGTCATGTGACCAGTCTGAAGAAATCTGGAGAAGGTAAGTATATGAATAAACTGCTTGGGTTTGAAAATGTATCAAAAGCCAACAATTTTTGGAGGATAGGGTAGGAAATGGCTAAAACCTCGCTCTCTCTCTCTCTATATATATATATATAGAGAGAGAGAGAGAGATACACTGTATATTGTATATACTGTATATAGTAACTGTAGCTGAAATGTTGGCATTGGAACACATTTTATGGATTTTAGGAGCCGAATCCCATCTGCAATGTTATTTTTGACATTTCATATTGACTATATTATAACTTGCAGTTCAGAAATGCAACTATTCAAACTTTTTTCAGAAATTCACTTATTCTCACAAATGGGAGGTACATAAATTGATCGCTAGCTTTGCTTTGGGAGAAACTTTAGGTCACTTCCTGGTGAGTCTTCAGGAAGGGCATTGAGGATAGACTGCAAGTTTCTCTCCTTGAGGTCTACTAAATGGGCAATTTGGCATGTCAGTCTTTAATGTCAATTGGAGTTGATGCTTAGAACTTGTTTCAAGGGCAACTTTTCATCCCACTGGGACCTTAGGGATGTATTATCCCCCTGGATATTTAGCAATCTACTGTTGGAATGGACAAAGAGCCATACAGACTGGAACTTACCACGAAATCCAACGACCATGCTTTCTGACCACAGGCTTCTTCAAAATATCCCAGGTGATCCTACTTGTCTTCCTCAGAGGTTCTGATTGGGTTGCTGATCGCCAATACTTATTGTTGAAATATTAGCCTTTCTCTATCCTGCCAAGCAAGCTAGACTGTGAACCCATTTAGGATGGACCACTCCTCTTTTCAGCAAACACATTGATGACTAGGATATTGTAAATGTCTAATTTGGAACTAACAATAAAATGGATTATGTAACAAGGGGATTAGTCATTTAGAGAAATCTTATTGCATAATGTCTGTTATCAGTAAAAAAAAAAAACTGTAGGAAAGGAATTTGAGAATTTCGATTAGGATCGTTTTAAATAATATTGATTTTTTTTAAAAATTTGGAATTTTTTCTTTCGAAAAAATGACTTTTCTTGTTACTAATGACTACTGAGTGGCAGCTCAAGAGTTCTCAGATGCGGTTACTTGACCTAAGTTCTTCAGGACAGAAAGTATAGGAAGTCCCCCGGAGTACCATAAAATAAAAATAACTTGGGTTCTAACCATTCTACTTAGGGTTTATATGCAGCCTACAAAAGGATGACAAAGACAAGCAACTTACCCGTAGGGTGTGATGTTCTTGCATGAGGTAGGTTGTCACATCGGGGCGAAGTGTCACTATTTCCAGAAATTTGGACCACATCACCAAAAGTTGGGAACAAAGCCAAGCCAGGTCCTTGCTGATCTGCTCGGTTATTCTGTCTGGGCTCTCCAACAACTGCCAGAAGACAAAAAAATAATAATCCTGCTACTCCTCTGGTAAACAATGACTTTCTCAGAACTGTTTTACCCTCTGAGAGCCTTCCCTCCGCTGCCGGTAAGAATTAATGGTGCTGTATACCATGACTAAACAGTTTCCAGTTGATTCGCCAATAACTTTGATATTACTTAAAGGGTAACTTCACTTTTGTGAAAAAAAAAATAGAAAAAAATTAAAAAATAAAATAATAATAATTATTATTATTATACAGTATTAATTACAGTATTATTATTATACAGTATAAAGCGCCGATAGTTCGCTCAGCGCTGTACATTACAATGGGGGACAGAACATGTGACAGAACAATACCAATACAATGCAAAACATGAGGGGATCGAGAGCCCTGCTCTTTCGAGCTTACAATCTAGGAGGGAGGGGATGGTGGTACAGGAGGAGATAGCTGTGGGGGATGGGTGGTAGGAAGAGTGGAGGAGTTCGGCAAGTTAGCAGGGGGTGGGGTAAGCTTCCCTGAAGAGGTGGGTTTTCAGGGTGCGCCTAAAGGAGAGGAGAGTAGGTGATAATCTGATGGGTTGGGGCAGGGAGTTCCAGAGGGTGGGTGACACCCTGGAGAAGTCCTGGAGGCGGGCATGGGAGGAGGAGACCAGGCAACAGTTGTTGTATGTGTAATTTCCTGCTTGGGAACTAGAGAGAAGGAGGTCTTGTGAGGAGCGGAGTGTGCGTGTTGGGTGGTACTTGGATATTAGGTCAGTGTTGTAGTATCGGGGCAGTATGGTGGACAGCTTTGTACGTCAGTGTTAGGATTTTGAATTTGATCCGTTGCGCAATCGGAAGCCAGTGGAGGGATTGGCAGAGGGGGGTGGCGGAGATGGAGCGGTTGGAAAGGTGAATGAGTCCTGGCAGCCGTATTCAGGATGGACTGAAGCGGGGATAGCCAGCGGCGAGGCAGGCCAGTGAGGAGGGAGTTGCAGTAGTCGAGTCGTGATATGATGAGGGAGTGGGATGAGCTGTTTAGTGGTTATATAATAATGATATAGAATATACAGTAGTTACACAAGAATTGCTTGACATTTCATTCTGCAGTCACAGTAATTTTCTGTAAAATTCAATGTAATATGGCAACCAGTTGTTGTACAGAAATTCCCCAGAAATGTAATTTCCTGCTTGTGTGATTGGCTCATTGATTTTCCCAGAATTCTGCACTAAGATACAAGTCAGATTTTAGACAACCGCTGCAACAGTTCATATTGTTTGGTGAGACACACCCCGATGGTTAATTACTTTTAAAGGGATGCAAACACTTCAACTATTCTCAATAGAAGACTGCAAGTGTATTGGCTGATTGGATTGAACAGACACTCCCATTCAGGAACTAGACTTCCAAGGACATAGAAGAACATACAGCTTTTTCTTAAGAACAGCAACAGGTCGCAATGTGCATAGATCACCCAAGGCTTTTTTTTTAAATATTACATACTTTACATACATATTTTTTTTTTGGGGGGGGGGGGCATACTAAGCTTTGTTTTAGCAACATTGTCTTGCAAAAATAATATTTTTCTTCTATCAGATCTATAGACAAATAGACATAAAACATACTTTTTTATTTTGAAAATGAAAATTTAAAAAATGACTTTCAATGTAATTAAAAAGTGTACATTCTATAATTTGTCCTGTTTAAAATGACAGTAAAATTGCGTTTTCTGTATAAAGAGTAGCAAAGTTATTTACAAATTAAAAAAAAGGATTTTTTTTTTTTTTTTATTTGGGACATTTTATTTTTTTGCCACACTAAGAAAAAGACAAAGCGAATGACAATGGAAATAAATAGATCAAAATATAGATAGATATTGTAAAAAAAAAGGCAGTTAGTTTAAACAGATCATACCCGTATACCCCATATCAACCAGGGGCAGATTGACCATTGGGAATTCGGGCACTGCCCGAGGGCCCGGGGGCCCTTTGAGATGACCCTGGAACCTTTCATAGGCTTTTTTGATGTGGTTTGAGTGTGGGTGAGGACACAGGGGCCCCATGATCCCCTATTGCCCGTGGACCCCATGAGTTGTCAGTCCGCCCCTGATATCAACCCTTGTTCATCCGGGTTTTTTTTTTTGCAACAACTTTGCTATTACATACTGTTAATGTACATATATACATTGTTTTGTTCTTTTTTTGGGGGGGAGGGGCAAACTAGGCTTTCGTTTAGCTATATTGTCCTGCAAAAATTATGTTTTCTTCTATGAAATGCAAACACATTAGACACACATAAGATGTAAAAAAATGTAAACAATTTTTCCCCATTTATATTGTAAAGCGCTGAGCAAACTGTTGGCGCTATATAAATCCTGTATGATAATAATTTTATCAGTGTTTTATCATTTTTTTTAAAAAAAAAGTGAATATAAAGGGAAATAAATTTTAATTGTAGCTTACAATTAAAAAAAAAGAAACCCCGCCCCGCCTCCCAGTATCTAAAACCCCTTAAAGGGCCAAGAGGCACCAGCGCCAAAGGGTTAAAGTAGTGGTGTCCACAGGTGTGGTATATATATATATTTACATTGATCCAAGCTGGACCATGTATAAATATCCACACATGGCATTCTTCTTTAACCCCTCGCCCTCCAGAGGATTTACCCCCCTTCCTGACCAGGCCATTTTTTGTTATAACGCGCTGCATTATTTTAACTGACAATTGCGCGGTCATGCAACGCTGCACCCAAATTAAACTGATGTCCTTTTTTTCCCATGAATAGAGCTTTCTTTTGGTGGTATTTGATCGCCTGTGTGTTTTTAATTTTTCACGCTATAAACAAAAAGAGACCGACAATTTTAAGAAAAAAACAATATTTTTGACTTTTTGCTATTAAACATGTCCAGTAAAAAATATGTAAAAATCGCATTTCGTCATAAATTTAGGCCAAAATGTTTTCTGCTCCATGTCTTTGCTAAAAATAAATCCCAATACGTGTAAATTAATTGGTTTACATGAAAGTTATAGCGTCTACAAATGGCGTTTTTATATACTGAGATTTTTAATTTTATTTTTTACTAGTAATGGTGGCGATCAGCGGCTTATAGCGGGACTGCGGTCTGACACTGGGGGGAAGTGACTTGGTGTCACTGACATCCCAAGTGACACCAATACAGTGATCAGTGCTACTGTACTAATGGCACTGGAAAGGAAGGGGTTAACATGTGGGGCGATCAAAGGGTTAACTGTGTGCTGTTTCACATGGGGAGAGACCTGTGTGGCTGGCGAGTAATCACTGGCCAAGACCCAGGGATTGACAGCCGAGGCCGCAAATGGCAGCGCGGGTAGGGCACATGCCCGGCTCGCGTGTGCCCCCTACACGGAAATACAAAATCATATATATATATATATATGTGTGTGTGATTTTCCACACCCCTGCCGCCCTGCAGCAGTATTTCTGCTATAGGGCGGAGGGGAAGAGGTTAATATGAATATCTGTTGTTGTTATTATTATTATATATTGTACTTACTGTATATGATCAGACCTATTTTAACACTAATGACATCATGACTACTAGATGGTGCTGCATTATCAAGAGGGATTGATAATAATAATAATAGTAATAATAATAATAGTAATAATAATAATAGTAATAATATAATAATACATTTTGCAGTTACTGTTCAATATCAGACCTACATTTAACAGAGTATACAGTACACTCCTAACCTTGCCCCTCAGTGGCCACTAGATGGTGCTGTATTCCGAAAAGGTTTTTTTTATTATTATTATTATTATTATTAGAGATGAGCGAATTATTCAAAAATTCGGTTCGGCTGATTCGCCGAATTCGCCAAATAAATTCGCTTCGAGCCGAATATATTCGCTGCGAATTTAACTTATAAAAAGGGTGTTTCTAGGCTTCAGAGAGCCTTTATATTAGTGCAGAACACTGTACCTTTAATTTAAATGCCCTTGGAGTCTGCTGGGGAAGAGAAATAATACTGTCAGTCAGTATGACATGCAGATGAGTGCCGTCGATCTTAGAATCACCGCACACTTCACTCATTTGGGCAGTCACGGGGCCAAAACCAGAGTGTGGAGCCACAGTGTGGCGGTGGAGGCAGCAGCAATGGGAGGCCATACAGCACCCTATGACAAAATGGAACCCACACCAGCAGTGTGAGGAGACCTGAAAGTGGCACATGGCAGAGTGTGGCGATGGAGACAGCAGCAATGGGAGGCCGTACAGGGACCCATGACACACTCTGGACCTGGCAGCAGCATGAGGAGGGCAGTACAGGGGCCCATGACAGATTACGGGCCTGGCAGCAGCATGAGGAGTCGGTACGGGGGCCCATGGCAGATTACGGGCCTGGCAGCAGCATGAGGAGGCAGTACAGGGGCCCATGGCAGAGTGGCGGAGCGTAAGCAGCTAAAATTGAAGGCCATACAGAGGCCTATGTTAAAAAGTCCCCCCAGCAGCAGCGTGGGGAGACGACTATCAAGAGTCCAATGGCAGAGTGGCGGAGCAGAAGCAGCTTCAATTGAAGGCCATACACAGGCCTAGGTTTAAAAGTCCCTCACAGTTAATTCCAATAACGAACTCTACTCCTCCGTGCAATCTACTTACGAGACCCTGGGCAGGTCTGGGTCCAATTTGTGGTAGAGACTGGTTTTGTTCAGCCATGCTTGAGCGAGTAATAACAGGTCTGTGCTGCCCTTTGGTGTCTGGCTTAATGCGCACAACACTGAACGTCCCAGCGTTTGTCAACGATTTGCCGTTAAGTGATGCAAACCCGCTGAACCACGTTCATGAGGAGCCGGTACAGGGGGCCATGAATCAGTATGGACCTGGCAGCAGCGTGAGCAGACGACAGAGGCACATGGCGCAGGGTGGCGGTGGCCACACATGTCGCCGCCATTTTTGGGAAAATTCGATTCGTGCATCCGAAGCTTGCTAATCTTCGGATTCGTCGCGAATAGAATTTTTCCAAATCTTCGGAACGAATTCCACTTCGTCAT